GCGATGTCTTTGTGGTCTGGGTGTGCTCTAGGCAGGAGTTTTTCCTGTTTGGAGATCATTTAATCCTTCTAGGAAGCCAGGCAGTCTGGTTCTCGGATCATCTGGGCTCAGGAGACTGGTCCTCAGCCATGGAGTTCCAGGCAGCCACTGTGTCTCCAGTCTTCATTCAGGGCTAAGATTCCCTCCAGGAAGATTTAGGACAAGAACTTCTCACTTCCTTCCTATGCATCGCTTTCTCATCACAGAGTTCTTCCATGTACTCCATGCCCTCCTCTCACACAACATCCTTGGCATGCGGGGACCAGCTGAGTCTGTGCCCTGCTGGGTAACAGAATAGCACAGACCGGGTAAAGTAGAAGTAATGGAAGTTTATTTCACTTGTGTTTGTTTGAGGGTCCAAGTCTGAGGGTCTACATCTGGTGAGGGTTCTCTACTCTATCAGAGTTATATAGGGTTATTGAAATGCAAATATATAGCTTGCTGAGACAAGGTCTTTTTATGTAGTTCTGGCTGCCTGGAACTTTCTGTGTAGACCAGGTTAGCCTCAAACAGACATCTGCCTGCCTCTATGTACAAAGTGTTGAGAAAAGAGGTCCGTAACATCATGCGTGGCCATGAATGCATATAATGTATGGTGATCATATTTTGCCCTTACCCAACCCCCTTCCTCTTACCCAGCCCCCCTTCCTCCCACTGGTCCGCTGTCGCCCCAGACATTCATGTCATTAGTACCACATTGTGTCTTATGATCGTATGTATCAATAAGGTCCAGGAGCCACAAATAAGAAAAAACATGTGAGGTTTGTCTTTCTGAGACCAAAGTCATTGGCAAGGGCATTGTTAAATTTTATATGACAGAGAACAGACAGCACAGAACAGGACAAGAAGGAGACCCACCAGGAAGGACTTCTCTGAACGGTCCTGTGTAAGCTGGGCCACCAGGGCCATCACAGGGCTATAAGTTGAATGAAGATGCAGTCTTGTTCTGAGCAGGGGAATATCATGTGGAGGCCTGAAGGGCAGAGAAGTTACTCATTGCAGGAAGCCTTGGAGGACACTCATGTGGATGGAGTCTGTTTGAGAAGACAAATGTGACTGTAGTGGAAGGCCTAGGGGTCACCAGGGACAGGAGGGAGGGGCAGGGAGCCTGACCTGGCTGGGGATGGAGGCTGGACCAGGTTGAAGCAACTCGAACTTGAGGACACAGAAGATAAATGCTGCTGTTGAGATAGTGAAAGTACAGAATTTTTTCTGAAAGTGGGTACCCCTTAAGTCTTACACCGTGCACAACTCAGGTGCCTCACCCTAGGAGTGGTCTGGGTTGAGCATTCTGCACCCATGACTTGGGTAAGTCTTTTCCTTCTATCTTCCTATCCTTTCCCTTTGCCTGAGTTTTAATTTGTGTTAAAACTTTCTTTGTATACACATCTGTGTGTTGGGGGAAGGTTTGCACACACACACTTGTTAAGGTCAGAGTTTAATTTCAAATACTGTTTTTCAGGAAATATCCATCTCAATTTCTTTCTTTCTTTCTTTCCTTCTTTCTTTCTTTCTTTCTTTCTTTCTTTCTTTCTTTTTGAGACAGGGTTTCTCTGTGTAGCTTTGGAGCCTATCCTGGAACTCACTCTGTAGACCAGGCTGGCCTGGAACTCAGAGATCTGCCTTCCTCTGCCTTCCTAGTGCTGGGATTAAAGGCACACACCACCACCCACGATGGGCTTCACCACCCACCTAGGTTTCTGAGGCAGCATCTTCTACTGGGCTGCAGCTCAGAAAGCAGGTCAGCAAGTTCCTGGGATCCAACAACCTGTCTCTACCCTCTAACTCCGCCCCTCACTGGAATTACAAGCACATCTTTCTAATGCAAGTTTTGGATATTGAACCCAGCCTCAGGCTTGTGCAGCAAGCACATTACCAAACAAGCTCTGCCCATCCAGACACTGCTTCTTAATGAACTCCAAGTTTGCTTCAAAAACGAAAGGAAAAAAAATGGAAGAAACAATGTCTGTGGCAAGGATGGGAGCAGATATTCGGGACAGAGGTACAAACTGGAATAGAGAAAAACCCCCGTGGTCAGGACAGTGCCACTCTTGTCCCATGAGTACTCCACAGCACAACGGGAGCATTTCAATGGGGAAACTCCTCTGAGCCTTTGGAATCCAGAGTTTCCACTGGGGCTTCACCACACCTGCCCTGGTGCATGTAGTCCCCTGCCCCTCTGCTGGTGGAACTGGTACCACATGGCTCACCTCCCACTTCATGAATCATACCACTGAACTGTTTGGTGATCACAGTAAGGGACAAATGAGGAGACTGCCACTAGACATCCATCCCAAGTGCCCAGAGATCACTCCAGAAGGGCAACCCTAGCTGAGTTCTGTGCAGCCTGTGGAGAACCCTGGGTTAGATGATTGCTACACTGTGTGTCAATGGGAAGCCTTGGACTGCACTCTCAGAGCTCGGAGGGCAGATGTTGTAATAAGAGTGGGAGGTCCTTTGTTTGTCCTGGCCACCCGGCTAGCTTACATCCAAAATAATCACACAAAAACTGATTAATTAAAGCATTGGTTGGCCATTAGCTCTAACTTATTATTGGCTAACTCTTACATATTAGTTTAACCCATCTTCATTAATCTGTGTATTACCACATGGCTGTGGCTTACCAGAGATTCTAACAGGTATCTATCTCAGAAGAAGATCCATGGCTTCTCTTACTCTGCCCTTCTTCCTCCCAGCATTCAGTTCTGTTTGCCTACCTAAGTTCCGCCCTATCAACTAGGCCAAGACAGTTTCTTTATTCATTAACCAATGAAAGCAACACACAAACAGAAGGAACTCCTATACCATTCCCCCTTTTCTGTTTAAACAAAAAGGAAGGCTTTAACTTTAACATAGTAAAATTACATATAACAAAACAGTTATCAAGCAAGAATTACAGGTACAATATTTATATCTACTTTATTTTATCATAACTAGAGAAAACTATAAGTATAAATTCTTCAATTCCATCAAAGACTTCAGAATGATATATTACCTATGTAAATTAGAAGTACATTATAAACAACTTTCAAAACTCTAGAATTGACAGAGACATCTTGCTGCCTGGACAGTCACTCAAAGTTCTTCTGTACCATTGGGACATCCATCTTCAGCCTACAGGCCCATAGTATCCAGCAGACTTTTTCACGAAGTAGGAGATTTCAAAGACAGTTCAGTCACTTTATTCTGTTTCCTGCAGAATGTCTCACAGACTCTTTCATGAAGCAGGAACCCCAAAAGATCATCTCACCTTTAGTCGAGTTCAGCAGTCATTTTTCTGTGGGTACTGCATGTCCAATTCAGCAATTCAGGCAAGAACAGTTTCTTGCCCAAATGGCTAAGGAGCCTCTTCGATGCCCATCTTCCTCTTGAAATAACTAGTGCTGCCAGGAACAGACATGCTTCACTGTCGTGAAAAGTCCTAAATTTTTAAAACATTTAAATGCCATATTCTGAAGGTCTCTGAAAGATTTGAAGAATCCCTATTCATCTGAAATACTTCTCTGTACATCTAGAAAATCTAACTAACATAACTACAAACTTGACTATTATAGGGGATTATCTATTAACCTATATTTCTTAATTATGCATTAATTTTTAATGAGCTACACAATCACAACACCTCAATTAAAAGCAGAAATATACATATAACAAGATTGACCTTCCTTAAATTTATATCAATAAATCAAGATACATACCAATGTAAAGTATTCATATCTTTATCATATCCTCCTTTAAATGTAGAAGAAGATTTATAAACAACATTTGGGAACATGGGCATAGTTTTTTCTCTCCAAACTGCTTCGTGCTATATGGGGGCACTATTAATCAGGTCTTTCATGATGTATCCTGTGTGCTAGGTTCATCTCAGTCAGCAGTTGAGTGAAGTAAGTTTTTGAGGGTGTTCATGGTAACATTTCAGGAGGTCTTGGTCCTTGAATCCATATTGGTGTAGAAGCAATCCACAGGTTCTCATCTTCTATGAAAACAAAAGAAGAACCTCTTTTCCAAAGCACCATATCCTTAGTCCCAAATTCTGAAGTTAAGATACTTTTATAATATACATGCTGGTTTAGCTTAGCAACCCATACAGTGAAATGTCTCTCTGTACTTAGTTCCTTCACAGTCAAAAATTCAAAGAAAACTCAGTAATACACATAATCCATACTCTGTGAATTTTCCGTTTTATGTGGCTTATTTTTCTTTACTTCTTTTCATCTAAGACTATCTGTACTCTGTCTCTTTAAAGACTTTAACCTTTCTTAAAAGCATTAACTTTATGACTCTCTATACTCTTTTTCTTCTCTCTCCCAAACCTATGTACATTTATCCAACACTGTGACCCAGGTTGGCCTCAAAGTCACGGTGATTCATTTGCCTCAGTCTCTTGAGAGCTGAGATTACAGGCAGGAGCCCCTGAAGGCTTTTGACCTTCAGATTGAGTTTTGTGCTATAAGATATTGGCAGGATGACTCCTACAGAATGGGTCTCAGGCTTGGCTGAAGTGATGAACATGACAGCACACTCTGGAATCTTCAACATCTGCTGTTCCCATGGAAAGCCAGCCATGACAAGTGCAGTGCTATGTGGTAGGTGTCAGCAGTGGAGCTCTGGGAATCCTGGAGGAAACAGACTGCACCATTGTGTTGTGTCTGCTTAGGTTACTTCCTGGCATCTCAGCCAAGTGGTCTGACCCAGCGGCACATGTAATCTCTACTCAGCATAGGTGCTAAACTCATCGCAGAGTCACTTGAATTGTCCTATAAACCAAATATGGTAGCTCACACCTGTAATCTCAGCATCTAGGAGGCTGAGGCAGGAGGATTTCCAGGAGTTGAAGACCAAACTCACTACACAGTGAGTTCCTGTCCAGTCAGGCTTCAGCATGAGAGTTTGCCTCAAAAACAAACACAGAGAGAGAGGGAGAGAGAGAGAGAGAGAGAGAGAGAGAGAGAGAGACAGAGAGAGAGAGAAACACAGAGAAAGAGAGCATGAGATAGAGAGAGAAAAAGAGGGAGACAACATTGAAAAAACTCTCACAGTGGCATGAAGAACTAATCCAGTAGCTGTTATCTGTGCCTAAGAAGAGGCACCAAGGTGCATAACATGTAGGAAGAATCTGAATTCAAAAACAGTTGATGCCTGAAAAAGAGATGAAGAAATAATAGCAGGGGCTGGAGACAGCTCAGTGATTAAGAGCACAGCCTACTCTTCCATAATGCTGGGGTTCAATTCCCAGCACCTACAGGACAGCTCATACCTATCTGTAACCCTAGTTACAGGGAACGCTCTTCTGGTCTCCATGGGCAAGGAAATCTCTTGGTGTTCAGACATGCATACAGGCAAAATACCCCAAAACATTAAAAAAAATAAACAAACAAAATGCACCAGAAAGCTAGAGAAGAGGGGGGGAACAAGAAATGTATAGGGGTGTAGTGGCATATGCCTTAAATCCCAGTCAGAAACTATGTGAGTCTGAAGCCAGCCTGAACTACACCATGAGTTCTAGGCCATCCAGTGCTGCATAAACTCTTATGTGTGGGCAAGGAGTACATAACTAATTAAAAATTTAAATATAAACAAATAGAAAACTTAAAAAGAAACAGTTAGAGGGGCGGTGGGAAATAAAATTCTGAGTGACTAGCATTTGATTTCACACCATCCCAATCAATCACTGTGCGGACTTGGGAGGGAAGTGTTACCATGTCTTTTCCAAGTGAGGAAACGGGCACAGAGAAGGCAAGCAAAGTCCAAACCACACAGAGCCAAGATTTCAGAACCAGGGACGTCTCGTTGTTGAATGAGAACAAGGTGAACAGGCAAAGGAAAGGATGCACTTCAGAGTTCTCCATCGTGGATTCTGATCCTGAATGGCCCCACACCTGTGAGCACAATGCATCATCCACCTGGTGACTCACACTCTTCTGCCCTGTGCACAGTGCACAGTGAGTCCTTCCTAGCACTATGTAGGGATAAGCCATGCTGGACCACATACCCAGTCATCAAGCTGATCCCGTGGCTTACACCCTGTGTAAAGTCAAGTGCATCTTCTATTGCTCTGTAATCCCCTTTCTCCATTTTCACAGGAGGAAACTAGAAACGTCTAGCTCCCATGGCTACTTCAAAAATGAATTAAAGTTGCAGAATAGTCTCTGACACACACTGAGCATCCAATACACATTAGCTGCTCTAAGCACAGAAAGACAAATCCGTGTGTTCTCACATACACATGGAAGCTAAGAAGTTACCAGAGCCTGGGAACGGTGTGGGGAGGGAGAGGTTGGCAGTACAGAGTATCTACACTGTCTGTGTAGATAGTACCGAAATGCACAGATAATGGACCAACTTTGTCTGTGTGTAGACAATCAAGTCAGGAAATTTAAGACAATGCAGATTAGAAAAATAATTAAATGTCTAAGATTTCTTATCTACTACGGGGGAGTGGAGTGTAAGGTCTTCTGCAGAAAAAGGAACTGTGCAGAATTTGTTCAGTCGAGTCTCTGGATATTCGTGTAGGAAAGCACCTGAGTATAGGCATGCTCTTTAGCACACACAGTAACACATTTCTGAGCATTCCCAGTTTAGGGTAAGAGCTCAAGAAGAAAATATGAAGGACACAATTTTGTTGTCCTTTTCTCAAACTCAAGGAATACATGCTGACAAGGACAAGCAAGCAGACAGAAACATTTGGGTGTGCTCAGTTTGCCTTCTGATGATGGCAGACAGCAAGACCACTGGGTTTGCTCTGTTGTGGAGTTAAAGGTGTATGAATACAAGAGTTTCCCCCTAAAAGTATCTTTACAGCAAGCAAACTGTGTATAGAAGGCCAAGAAAGAGAATGCACTCTGAACATTCATGGCTGTAAGGAAAGAGACTCAGAGCACATGAAAAGAACCATTCCTGTGTGGATCAGGAAGGGCCTCTCACAGGGGATTTCCTACCCAAGGCTCCAGGTCTCGGCTGCCTTCCCAGGGAAAGGGTTTGTTTGCTTTGGGGGTCTTACACACTGTGTTACCATAGTTCAGAGGTAAATATTGCCACTCCCTGCTCTGGACTGCAGGTTGCCTGAGCCTTCTTCACTGCGGACAAATATGCTCTTTCCTTAAACCATACATTTCAGAGACCTTTGAAAGAACGGGATGCTGGAGTAGGGGAAAATGGAGAAGAGAAGGCATGGAAGCCATGAGCAATCCCTGAGTGATGGGAGCTGGAGCAGGGAGGGCTGTTCAGAGGAGCGAGCCCTTAGCATGGGATGGAGTGTGTGGGTGATTGCCAGCCAGCTCCAGGCCGAGGCCACAGGGACAGGGCTCCTCATGGTGCAGTGTGATCTACAGTGAGACTGGAGAGAATAATGTCAGAGATCAGGCGTAACAAAAAGAAAGCACCCCTGCCCTCTTCTTTTCCCAAACCTAGCATACATGAATCTTGCATTATTGAAAAATCTCATCTCAGGAATAGCACATATTTTCTCTCAGGATCTGTCAGGATTTCTGATGAGCCTGACAGAAACCTGTTTCATTTCCATGTGAGGTAATGAGTAGATGTGAGTCCTCACACATCTGTCCGGGCATGATAAAGATAACATCACGGAGGTGTTGGGCTGTAGATGCCATCTGTATTTTATCTCTCCCAAGCCCTCCTCTCCTCCAGACCAAGCCCCTTCCCTCTCTTTACTTCAGCATGCCTTTGTGTGTGTGTTGTCTCTCTGACTCTCACTTTCCCAAATCTTGTTTTGGTTTTTTCTACACCTCATGCCCTCCTGTTTACAGGAATATACTGTACAAACTGAGGAATTGCTGTAAAAATCAGGATAGGTGTGGTGAAGTTGTTGTGAGCAGGGACTGGCTGTCCCAAACCATGAAAAACTTTCTATTCTTTCCCCAGTCCTGAAAAATCTCATGTAAAGACTTTTGAGCAGCCTGTTAATAAGAATCCATCCTAAAATGTTATTTCTGGATATCTAATTGATTTATACAATAATGGAATCTAATGTTTGTTATAAGGACAAGGAATCCAAATGTGAGGTCCTCTCAAGATACCCTTGGGCTCCTTAAATACTCTCATTAATTTTTGTGTACTGCTTTAATTTTGCCTATGGTGTGTGGTGGGTGAAAAGCTGGTGACAAGGACCTATAATAGAAAACTGTGAGTGCTGTCTTTCAAGTTCTCAAATCCACCACAAAACAAACCAGCATCAAGCTAAACCTAGCTCCCCATGTAAAAGAATAAACTTTGGCTCCTTTTGCCTTTTATCTATTAACAGATTTGGCAGATATCAGAAAGATTTTCACTCTGTGTGATTTTTGAGATTAAAGCATGTTTGAAATAGGGGAGACACAAAGTGGGAGGGGAGAGAGAGAGAGAGAGAGAGAGAGAGAGAGAGAGAGAGAGAGAGAG